AGATTTTATTTTCCTGGGCTCCAAGATCACTGCAGACGGGGACTACAGCCAAGAAATTAAAAGACGCTTGCTCCTGGGGAGGAAAGCTATGGCAAATCTAGACAGCATACTAAAAAGCAGAGACATCACCCTGCCAGCAAAAGTGCGTATAGTCAAGGCTATGGTTTTCCCAGTTGCAATGTATGGCCATGAAAGCTGGACCATAAGGAAGGCTGAGTGCTGAAGGATTGAGGCCTTTGAATTGTGGTGCTGGAGAAGACTCCTGCGAGTCCCTTGGACTGCAAGGCGATCAAACCGGTCAGTCGTAGAAGAGATCAACCCTGACTGCTCTTTAGAAGGCCAGATCCTGAAGATGAAACTCAAATATTTTGGCCACCTAATGTGAAGGAAGGACTCCCTGGAGAAGAGTCTAATACTGGGAACAGTAGATGGCAAAAGAAGAAGGGGACAGCAGAGGATGAGGTGGCTAGATTGAGTCACTGAAGCAGTTGGTGTGAGCTTAGGTGGACTTCAGGAGATGGTGGAGGACAGGAAGGCCTGGAGGAGTGTTGTCCATGGGGTCGCGATGGGTCGGACATGACTTCACGACTAATAACAACAACTAAGGTGTCAAAAAACCAAACCCCAAACAGACTGTAGAGTTCCCTCTCCCACTTTTTTTGCTTCACAAATGTGCAGGATCCCTCCATACGCAGTGATACCATCCTTTTATTCGTGGATGGTATGGTTTGCCCACAGAAAAACTACAGAAGAAGCGTAAACTTGAGATCACTATTAATATACAGAAAATGACTGTAAGGGCCCACACATTTTTGGCTGGCTTTCATGTTCGCAATAATCATGTTCCTTCTTCTTCCAGCAAAGATTTTCCATTACTCTCACAAATATTAGAAACCCTTCTGTTCATAGAATGGCATACCTAGCAACAGAGAAATGATTTAGCCAAGGACTTACCTTCAACTTTAGTTATTAAGTTACAAGCCAGATTTAAGATGCGCAGATTGGAAAGTGAGCTTAATCCTTCAATCCAATGTATGCAATTTGATGATAGATCTAGATGCTGTAAATTCACCAAGTGGTCAAGTCGTTCAATCCTGGAGATCTGGTTACAGTGCAAGTTGAGCGTGTGAAGTTCTGAACTTAAAGGTAATTCTCCTAAACTATAAATGGAAAGCATGTGACATTAGAATATTTCTTTCTCTTTTTCACAAACTGAAGTGTTAAAAAGCAGTAAGAGTATTTGCCAGTTCTGCAAAGTTGGTAAGTATTTTTATTATTACAGGAGAAAGACAGGCTTTAAAAAACCAGAGATAGCCTGCCTAGGGACAAGAACTGGGGCAACCAGGCAACTCCCTTCATTCATGAACGCTGGAAATGCTTGCTGTTAATGGGAGTTTTAGTCCAGCACATGTGCATTGTGCCATGCGTTTAAGCATGGCATGGAGCTAAGGTTCCACTGACTACAAATATTCCACTTAGACTGGGAAACCCAGGTTCAAATACTCACTCAGCTGAAAAACACAACAAGGATTCTGGGTCAGTTCCCCATGCCAGGCTGGATAAAGGGCCTATTTGATCTAGCTTACCTCTTTCCTAGGGAAGCCCACAACAGGACAAATATGCACTGATTCCTCCTTACAACTACTCAGGGAATACCATACTGGTTCCATATTGCCACCATAACACACAGCATCACCACTGGTATATCTTTTTCTTTCTGACAAATTTGTCTACTATCCCTTTAAAGTCTCCTGAGACACTAGCTCTATCCTGTGGCACACATCCCACAAATTACATGTTGTGCAAACCCTTCCGCCTATCTTGAATTTCTTGGTAGTCATTCTCTCCATAAGTGTATGAAAGTGCACTCTACACATCCTCAACAGCCCTCCCATCTTTCTTCCTTCACATTTGTCAGATTCCAGAGACAAGCCTGGCTTACAGTGGTGGGGGCAATACCAACAACACCAAATATGATAGGGAAGAGTTACTTCTCTTGACCCAGTTTCCAGAGGGTAGCCACATTGTATATCCATGAAAGCTTATGTCAGAACATGTTGGTTGATGTTTAAGGTGCCCAAGTGTTCCTGCAGCCTAGGAAAAGGTAAAATACCAAGCCACAGAAAGGCAAAGTAGCATGCTTCTTGGGGTGATTGAAATCCTGGTCTTACCAACCATGTTAAACCTGTGGTTTCCTCTAAAGCTCTTTGCCTTCTTAATGCAGGCTTGGAATCGTCGAGGTTCAAGAACTCATAATTTTGTTTAAGACAACACCTTTCCAGAACAAAAAGGGATTCCATTTATTTCTAACCTATGCTATGCTTTTGCAAGGCAACTGCAGAAGCATCATCACTGCTATGGGAAGGGCCTTTTCATATGGGATATCTCAGAGGAGCATTTGCCTTCCCCATCAAATATTTTCCGGATGCTAGGCTACAACTTCACACTGAGGCCTCTGTAGCATAGTGGAAAATCTAGGTTCAAGCCACCACTCAGCCATGTAGCTCATTGCGTGACTTTAGGGTGCTCCCTGATTCTCAGCCTTATATTATTATATATGCCTAACTTATCTTACAAGATTGCTGTCAGGAAAAAATAGCAACGAGGTGAAGCGCAATGCAGTTCAGCTTGGGTTCCTTGCAACAGGAAAAAAGACAGGCTAGAAATGAAATATCATAACAATAAATATTTCTATCAGCGCCAACCAGCATGGCCAACAGTCAAGAATGCAAGGAGTTAGGGACCACAACATCTGGACACCATGTCGGGGAAAATTTGGAAAGAAGGCTGATCCAGACCGAAGCGTACTTTACCGTATGATTGAAAACATACAACGAGTAAACCCACTGAACCTAATTGGACTTCAGCCCAATTGATTCCAGTGGGTCTACTCTACGTATGACTATACCGAAAGTTAAGCCACGGTGCGCCCTGCATGCAAGCCGGTCACCTTTTGATGCCTTTGTCCATGAGGCTGAGCTCCCCTGCTTCGGCTCCGGGATCCGCCATCCCGCTCCAGCGGGCGCCCCGCCGCCACCCACTAGCCCCGACCACTAACCAGCGCCGCGCTCCTTGCCGCCCTCCTCTTTAAATCCCTCCCACCCCCGCTGCTGTCGGCCCAACAGCATCGCTAGGCATGACGGGAGCAGTTTTGACAGCAAGTAAAATCCTAGAGAGGAAGGGAGATTATGAAACGCCACACAGAGGTAAAAAAAGAGAAGAGGGGAGCATGGGGTTGTATTCATGTTATATTTTATGTTATTTCATGTGTGTAAGTCGTCCTGAGGCTTTCGCGACAGGACAGCTTATAAATATTTTAAATAAATAAATAAATATTCCTTACTGACTTAGGTGAAGTTGCATTTGTGTCAGCTCTAAGTAGGACTGATGTTGGGATACGACCAAAGCCTGTATTTTCAGCTTCAATGCTTTTTGTGCGTGTCGTGTGACCCGTTAGAGGCGAAATTGAGACGCATCCTTAGAAACTTATGGAGCAATCTAAAACTTGACCTCAAAATTTATTTATTTATTTATTTATTTATAAACTTTTTATACTAAAAGTCTCTGGACTCGTGCATAGAAACAAAAGGTAGCAGGAAAGAAAGTTTGGAAAACAATAATTTTGGCTTTTCACACACACATATCCACTTCCTTTCTGATATAAATTCCTATGTTCCTGCAGTCGATTACCCGCATAATACAGTAGTTACAAAAGGGGTCGCAGAAATTCCCTATAAGACTAAATGTTTTCAAACGCAAACTGCGAGTAGTGGTTGTGTGTAAATGCTCATCCACATCACTACGGACTTTAAGAAAGATCGTTTATCTGAAAAAGCAAGCCGAGGAGGAATTTATAGAAAATAAACCTAGAAAGAATAGAGTCATAATCGCACATTTCTGAGCGTTCTCCATCTTTCCCTCAAGCGGGAGAACGGGACTGAGAAGCAAATTGACCGATAGCTGTAGTCCGTACAAACTTAAGTGTGTATTGTGTGGATTTCGGGGAAGGGAGCTCGAAAAGCCAAACCAGACACCATCAGAAACTGACTTTTATTGTACCATTTTAGTAACAAACAATTCTGCTTGTACAAAAAGGTGGCTAAAGGCTTTTTTAAGTGTTATGTATTCTTGGACACTCCTTCATGGATCACTGCCTTGTCGTGGCGAAGGGGCTTGCGTAGCTCAATGAAGCTATGAGCTATGCCGTGCAAAGCCACCCAAGACGGACAGGCCATAGCAGAGAGCTCTGACAAAACGTGATCCACTGGAGAAGGAAATGGCAACCCACTCCAGTATCTTTGCCGTGAAAACTCCATGGACAGTACCAAAAGGCAAAAAGATATGACGCCAGAAGATGAGCCCCTCAGGTTGGAAGGTGTCCAATATGCTACTGGGGAAGAACAGAGGGCTAGTACTAGCAGCGCCAGAAAAAATGAAGTGACTGGGTCAAAGCCGAAAGGACACTCAGTTGCTGATGCATCTGGTGGTGAAAGGAAAGTCCGATGCTGCAAAGATCTATACTCCATAGGAACCTGGAATGTAAGATCCATGAATCAAGGCAAGCTGGATGTGGTCAAACAAGAGATGACAAGACTGAACATCGACATCTTAGGAATCAGTGAACTAAAATGGACAGGAATGGGTGAATTTAATTCAAATGACCATCAGGTATACTACTGCGGGCAAGAATCCCTTGGAAAAGCAGTACTGGGATACAATCTCCAAAATGACAGAATGATCTCAGTTCGAATCCAAGGCAAACCATTCAACATCACAATAGTCCAAGTATTGTCCAAGGCTGTATACTGTCCAATAGTCCAAGGCTGTATACTGTTGCCCTGCCTGTTTAACTTATATGCAGAGCTATCATGAGAAAGGTGGGGCTAGATGAATCACCAGTTGGTATTAAGATTGCTGGGAGAAATATCAACAACCTCAAATATGCAGATGATACCACTCTCGTGGCAGAAAGTGAAGAGGAACTAAAGAGCCTCTTGATGTGGGTGAAGGAGAAGAGTGCAAAAGTTGGCATGAAACTTAACATTAAGAAAACTAAGATCATGGCATCCGGTCCTCTCACTTCCTGGCAAACAGATGGGGAAGAAATGGAGGTAGTGACCGATTTTATTTTCCTGGGCTCGAAGATTACTGCAGATGGGGACTGCAACCAAGAAATTAAAAGACCCTTGCTCCTGTGGGGGAAAGCTATGGCAAATCTAGACAGCATACTAAAAAGCAGAGACATCACCCTGCCAACAAAAGTGCGTATAGTCAAGGCTATGGTTTTCCCAATTGCAATGTATGGCTGTGAAAGCTGAGTGCCGAAGGATTGAGGCCTTTGAATTGTAGTGCTGGAGGAGACTCCTGTGAGTCCCTTGGACCGCAAGGCGATCAAACCAGTCAGTCCTAGAAGAGATCAACCCTGACTGCTCTTTAGAAGGCCAGATCCTGAAGATGAAACTCAAATACTTTTGAGTTTTTGAGTTTTTGGGGAGTGCTTACATCCATACGTGCCCTCCCTCCCCTTGAGATCGGCGGCAAAGGCCCTTCTCCGGGAGCCCTCCATGAAGGACATTAGGAGGGTGAGCATCCGGAGGAGGGCTTTCTCTGCGGTGGCGCTCAACCTATGGAATGCGCTCCCAGAGAGGTCCACCTGGCGCCGTCATTATTTGCTTTTCAGTGCCAGGCCAAGACCTTTTTATTTAAACGTCATTTTAATTGTTGATTTTATTTATTGATTTTAACAACTTTGGCCAGGATATCTCCAACCGTATTTTATTGTAATAATGATAATTATTTATTTGTAAGCCCCTCTGAGGCTTAGGCGAATGGGGTGGCATATAAGTCTGCTAAACAAAATAAATAAATAAATTTATTTATTTATTTATTTTTATTTATTTATTAAAACATTTTTATGCCGCCCCATTCGCCGATACTTTGGTGGCGAATAAATACTTTGGCCACCTAATGAGAAGGAAGGACTCCCTGGAGAAGAGCCTGATGCTGGAAACAATAGATGGCAAAAGAAGAAGGAGACGGCAGAGGATGAGGTGGCTAGATGGAGTCACTGAAGCAGTCGGTGTGAGCTTAAGTGGACTCCGGGGGATGGTGGAGGACAGGAAGGCCTGGAGGAATGTTGTCCATGGGGTCGCGATGGCTTGGACATGACTTCGCGACTAACAACAACAATTCTTGGACATGGTAACACTGTATTACACTGCTGGGATGTTGTAAATTAGTATTACTGGCTCCCTGCCTCCTCCTCCTCCACTCAAGCTGCAATGTGAGAGATACTAACCATGGACATGTGCAGTGGGGTTGTCAAAATGCCACTACAAGGTCTCTCAATCTCCTTTTGCTTTCTTGCCACATGTAATATAGGGATCTTCATTGTGAAATTTGTTTGCATTTGTTGACATTTAAAAAATCACATAAGTGAAATCTGACATAGAAAAGTATGAAGAAACACTTATCAAGTCAGGCGTGGTGTCCCACTCAGAATTAGTAGTGGGCAAAGTATGTCTTAACAGAAAGCAAGAAAAAAGCAACACCTTGAATCAACCTGCAATATCACAGAATTTTATAAAACAGTTTTTCTTAAACTGTTTTCCCTTCTAAACTGCTTGAAAATTGCTGAAAGCCTTGGTGCTTTATTTAATCAACATGCTTTGTTTGTCCTATCAATCGAAGCACACAAACAATATATTTTAACTTTTTTAAAGAAATACAAAATCTTCAGCACTATTATCATTGTCAAAACCAGCAGAGATATGTTATGACAATAACAATCCCTTAGCTAGATTGCGGAGAAGAGCCCTTTTATATAAGTAGATTTTTAGGAGCAAATTTGTAGACATTATAGGACATACCTGGCTGGCTGGCATTAGGCAGGAGCCTGCTACTCAACTCCAGAGCACAAACACAACAACAGACAACCTACAGTGCAGTCACACAACAACAGAGAATCAGCCAGATATTGAGCAATCTTGAGCCCAAAAGCCTCCATCTCAGTCCTAAGCCTCTCAAGTGTGTGCAAAGATCACTTGGATTAAAATACACCAACAAGGAATCCTGGTGGGTGCTCCACTAAAAGTTACACAGTATCTTCAAAGGTCACTGCATTATTTTTGAGTCCTCTGAGGTGATAATAAAAAGCAGTACTTCTTCCGCTATGAACTCTGAATGAAACATTCACTTTTGGATATCATTGTATGCTGCCAAATTCAGAGGCAGGATCGCAAAAGGTGATTCCAAACTAAACTCCATATAGGGCTGTTTTAATCCCTCACTCATGGAAGTCACAACATCTTGCTGCTCCAGGTCCTCTCCCATATTTTCCAAACACTTTTGCTGGTTTTTGTTGTTGGTTTTTTTTTTAGAGTGAGGAAAGCTAGCTATTAAAATTCATACTAGAATAAAAGTCTCATATAGAGTCACAATTCAGTCATATGGTAGCTATATCACATCACAGCCTTACGGCTGATGAATACAATTTATGGAAAGACAGAATATACAAACTTTGGGAAAATTCTTATGTAAAGGATGCATTTTTCCTCCTGCATAATCTTAATTAATCTAATTGAATGTAAAGCCTAATGAATTCAATGTGATTTACTTGCAAGTAATTGTGCGAAGGGTCAGCTAAGTAATTTCAAGAAACTAACCCCGGGGGAGTGTGCCATTTTGTGAAAGTGTATATCCTCAAATTACTAGGTCAGTTCTACAGAGATTTGGTTGAACCACTGTTCCTATCCCCTTTATTATGCCCAGGCCCTTGTTTCAACTAACTAACACTCCAAGCCTGTTCATGTATACTCAGAAGTTTCACTGTGTTCAGTAGGACTTACTCCAAAGTGAGCATGCATTGGATTGCAGCCTTAATTTAGCAATGCATTCAGACTGGGTCGAGGTACAGAACAGTCATTCATTAAGACTTGGTAAGGATATGGTTAATCATCAGCACTTCTCTTGTTAAACTTAAGAGGTTACAAGTCTGAAATGACCTCATCAATCATTTGTAGTGTTTTGCTGCATCCAAGAAAGGAGAGAAGGAAATGTCTTCAGGTTACTAACAGCTCTTTTTGAAAAGCAACAAAAGCAGGGAAAAAGTCATGGAGAAATACCAACGTAAGCAGATTAAAGAAGAAAATAAAAACAGAAACAGAAAGATGCATCTTGAAAGAACTATAGGATATTTTGAAGGCGTTAGCTTCATAGTAGGTACAATTGTAGGCGCAGGGATCTTTGTCTCACCTACTGGAGTACTGAAACATTCCTTGCTTAATGTTGGAATTGCATTGCTCATCTGGACTGCTTGTGGCATCATATCTTTGATGGGTGCTCTCTGTTATGCAGAGCTTGGCACAGCATTACCATTTTCTGGAGGAGAATATAGCCACATAAAGAGAGCCCTTGGGTCTCCACTGGCTTTCATTTTTCTGTGGGCATCAGTGTTCAACAAACCAGCCTCAAATGCTGCTCGGGCCTTGCTCTTTGCTGAGTATGCTACGCAGCCATTCTATGGCGCATGCCTGGCCCCAGAAGTGCTAAAGAAATGTCTGGCTTTGGCTGTTCTCTGGTTTCTTGGGATCCTCAATGGTCGAAGTGTCAAGATGGCTGCTTGGCTACAGACTGTCTTCACCGTCCTGAAAATGATGGCTTTGTCTGTCATTGCTATTGGTGGAATTGTCCTGTTGATCAGAGGAAGGAAAGAGAATATAGCAAGATTTGAGAATATTTTCAACTCAGAGGTCCCTGATGCTGCACAGATAGCAGAAGCATTTTTCCAAGGGCTCTATGCCTATGGTGGCTGGTGGTCTCTCAATTACTTGGCAGGTACGTCTCTCATTTTTCCTTGTCAATTGGTGGTTATGTTCTCTGTTGATGCTTGACTATGGGATTTAGACTCTTTACAAATGTTGATTACTTAACTAGTTTATTGATAGGATTCTGGATGACTTCTGGATAGATCTTAATACAGGCTTAGAGCAGGGCTTTTCTAGGCAGAGAAAAGAGAAGTATGGAGACCCTGCAGAACAGATTGTTCCGAAGGGGATTTAATAATGAATTTACTGTTTGAAGAGACCCATATTAGGACCAATCAACCTTCCCCAAAATGTGGAAGTTCTCCAGCATTCTTCACTGTGTTTAATACTTCACAGTGACCACTTAATATTCATGCAGAGCACAACCTCCCTTAGCAGAACTCCACCAGAGTAAGGCTTCCAGATTATTATTTTTTCTGCTATGTCCTCTCTGTATTGCACAATGAACATATATAGCAACTGCATGATAGGCTAATTACATGATTTGGGGTCATGTAAAAGCATTTTTATGGCTTTCTAACAGTTGTATGTTGATGTTTTGTAACACATTATCTGTTGCTTGAAGGTGTACTTCCATTATTCCCTGTGAAGAAAACAGTATTTCCAGGGACTACACAAGCATTGACCATGAACATTACAGGAAGCAGACATTTCCTTTCATTTTGTAGCAGATGAAATCATAACCAGCCTGTTTTTTGTTCATTGTTCCTTTGGTTCACTGTCCAAAATCAAAGGCAAGGGGGTGTAAGCCATGTACTTGTTTTATGATCTAGATGCCCTGAAAGAAATAAGACCCCAGGGACATAGCTCTGTTAGCCAGCTGGAACACAGGCTAACCACACAATCCTCTGACACTTTTAGGTTAGCCAAGCCAAGCTGAAGAACTTCATTTGTTCCTACAGTATATCACAGAAGTGAGTACACACCTCACATTTTGTAAATATTTCATTATATCTTTTCACATGACAACCCCGAAGAAATGACACTTTGCTACAATGTAAAGTAGTGAGTATACAGCTTGTATAACAGTGTAAATTTGCTGTCTCCTCAAAATAACTCAACACACAGCCATTAATGTCCAAACCGCTGGCAACAAAAGTGAGTACACCCCTACATCCCTAAGTACCCCCCCAAGTGGACACCAGAATGGGATGTGTGGTATAACACAAGCTGCATCATGTTAGACTTCTAAGCCCAATGAAAGGAAGCCAATTCCTTCCTGCTGTTCAGCTGTGGTGCCACAGAGGGACCAAGAGAGGCACCCCCCTCACCTTGGAGAGTTGCTCACCAAGTGGAAGGGGAGCAGCTGCTTTTCTGAGTCACCACTAGGCATAGTGATATCATGGGGAAGTGTCATCACCCTGCCTTCTCTTGTGATGCTCACAGGATAGGCCTGGGTTGAGAGGCCTGGGTTGAGGCCAAGCTAGACACAGCGTACACACCTCAGCCACAAGCCTCTCTCAAAGAATCTCGCTCTCCAGGCATTGCTAAATAGATAGCTGAATTTGATGACAGCCATCAACTGGAACCACTTAGCCAGAGTGGCAACCCTGTTTTTGCCAATTCAGGCCTCTGTGTTAATCCATACAGGTAAAGGTTCAGTTTTAAAGGTTCCCAGGAGCAGGTGCTCTGTAAAGGTAATGAGTCTCAATTGTCCATTCAAGACCAAGCCATTACCAAAATACCTTGCCTTATGATTGGGTTAACTTACGACTATCTACTGTTGCTGGGAAAAATCAATTTCCAGCCAGTTACTCTGAGGATGGCAGCTAAGCTCAGAAAGAACAGGGAATTCTGAGGAGTCGTGTGGGTGGCAGATGAGGTAAGTGTCTCAGCTAGTCAAAATCAGTTTGTGCTGCATCCTTGCAAGCCCTGACTCCATCGCAGCACTGATCCAACATTTCACAACACTTCTGCACACACGCTGAATTGTGCTGGAGCTGTGGCAACTCCAACATCTTCCATTTCAAGTGGTCTACATTTGGAACATTCCAGATAGGGTCCTGGGAGATAATGGAGATGATCTTGCTTGCACCAGATCTCTTGATCCACTTTTTGGCAGATATCAAAAATAAATCCATATTAGTGCCATCTAGCTGTCTGTCCATCTATTGATTGTTCATTTTAGCAATTTATCATCTTTCTTCCATTGAGGGGAGCACAGTACAGGGAAGTATTTTGCAGGAATCGATATGCTACCAGGAGGGCAATATTCTTGCAGTGAATGTATTTATTTATTTTATTTTGCATGGCATTTGCACAATTAGCCGGGAAGTCCACAGTGCTAACGCAGAGCTGTTTGGCTGCCTAAGATTGCGAGCTCTTCAGTTCACATTTGTGCGCTATCCACAATGCGCCACAGGGGGCAAGCCAGCTTTGCACACAGACCAGCTGGCGTTAGTCCGCATCTTCCGGGGTCCTTCTCCACCACTGCTGCCAGCTGCAGGTCTGATGTGGGCTGGTCTTCTCATTTCCATGCAGCTCACTCGCTCCCCACATAGGTGGGCACCCACTTATCTCCTTGTGGTTTCACATGCTTTCGAACTGCTGGGTGGACAGAGGCTGGGACAAGGCAGCCGGGCATCACCCTACCATGCAGATTCAAACGGCCAGATCCCCAAGTTCGGTGTCTCAGCAGTTTAACCTGCAACACCACCTTGCATCCTGCTTGCAGTGAAGAAAGGAGTGAACATAGAAGTATAAATGGAAGCCCTATGAGTGACTTGAGTTCAGCATTTTGCAGCCACTACTGGATACTTTGAAACAAATTTTTTGGCCCTGTTAGCTGGAAGCCTGCTAGAAAAGTAAATAATAAGCTACCTGAGGTTTTTAGGATTCTGTACCACTTACCAAATTCATTCATGGTAGAAAATCATATAAAGAGAATAGCTGTGAGCGTCACAAATACATATGATGTATGCCTTTTCTCTTTACAAATGGATGCTTAACTTGTACATTATATATTCTAGGGGAGGTTAAAAACCCCAGCAGAAACATTCCTTGGACTGTGATGACGGCACTTCCTTTAGTAACGTTGTTTTACTTGCTGGTAAACATTTCATATCTGACAGTTCTTACACCAAAGGAGGTTGTTTCCTCAGGTACGGTTACAAGTTTATGTTCTTGACAGGATAAAAGCTTTGATGATGCCTTCAATAGACAAAGAGAACGCACTAAATGAGCCAAGGTCTTCTAAACCTAACTCAGGCGGTGCTTTTGTTGCACGCTTATCATTCCTACTCACAGTTGTTTATGGGTTCTTTAGATGACGCTGTGACCCTCCAGCTTCATTTCTGTTTATAGGTAGCACTTTCTCTGAGTTCTTTTAGAGCAAGGAAAAAGGGATATTATTTCTGATTGGCAAAAGAAAGCACAATTTCCTCCTCTGTATTTACACTGTTCTGTTTTACTCCAATGCCACATACAGGTTATGCAGTGGAAAAGCAGAAAAGGTCATGATCCTTGTGTAGTGCTTGACTCTGCCATGAAACCATGAATAGATATAAACCAGTAACAGCTTCATATAGAAAAGCCTTTTTACCAGAATCATATGCTCACTGAAATACACATGATTATGAATTGTCTTGAAGATGACAAAATATAGAAGCATCTATGCATATGTTTGGCTAAAGCCCCATTTGGTAATTTTGGGGACAAGTACATTTAAAATAGTCCTTTCTTTTCCTCCTCTTCCTCCTCTCTTTTTCTTCCCCTTTTACAGATCAGAAGTAAGGGAGGCAGCATGAAGCTGGCAATGTGACTAGTGGTGCAAAGTTTTCAATATAGCCTGCAAACTTGCAAGAAGACATTTCTGATTTTTAATCTTCCACTGATATTAGTTTAAAATAATTTCCTCTGGCATACACTGAAAAGAGATTCAAATACCACTAAATCATATAAAGGAACTTTGCCTCTATGTAATTATATGATTTGTGGCATAAAGGCCAACATTATTATAGATATTTGTTTGATTTCTATAGGTGTTCAGTTTTGTTTTTCTACGAATGCAAATAAAGTAATTACAATATTCCAAAGATAAAACAAAAATGCCAAGAAACTACAGAAACAGAACTGCATCAATTTTATCTCTGTTTTTTGCTAGACTTTAGGTTGTGCTACCTGGAATCATTCAGGTTTGCCTTGTAGTGGACATACTTGTTGTTCTAAACTTGCCATAGTCAGAGCCCATTCACTTCGAAATAGTACTTCTGTGGTGCCATTAACAGTTACCCAGTGCAGAATTTTGCTAGTTGGTCCATCTTTTTCTAGGGCAGCCTCATGGTGTCAGATGTTTCACAGCTGGAAATAATGTTCTGTACAGCTACTAAACGTGAAGGATTATTGTCTTATATCTATCCCTGTGTCCCCAAGCACTATTGCTTCAAAATCCTGGAACTAAGCCCTGTTTGTTCTTCAAGGTTTACTGAAAAATCGGTGCCCAGTTGTGGGCTTCACTCAGTGATCCATCTGTCTATGAACTAATCCAAGGCTTACGTGGAACCATTGTCTTTCAATGATACTGATGTGGTCTTTTAATGCAATTGATGTTTCCATGCAGTTGCCGTAGCAGTCACTTGGGCTGACAGAGTGATTCCTTCAGTTGCCTGGGCAATTCCTGCATCTGTGGCTATCTCAATATTTGGGGCCCTTAACAGCAGCATCTTTACACTTGGACGACTAAGTTATGCTGGGAGCCAGTCGGGACACTTGCCCATCATAATATCCATGCTTAACGTCCAGTACTGCACTCCTGCTCCAGCCATGATTTTCTCCACCGTGATTGCATCCATTTTTATTATTCCCTCTGATCTAATTGCTTTAACAAATTATTTTGGATTCTCCGTTTGGCTCATGATTGGACTGACATGCACTAGTCTGATCATCCTCCGCTACCGAGAGCCTAATCTACACCGACCATACAAGGTAAAAAGGAAGAAATTAAAATGTGCAATACAGAGGCTTAATAGTATTGCATTAAAAGAAACCTGTGAGCCTTGCAAATCTGTAAAAATGTTGGACAGTGTAATCACATAACCTAAACAAGCTTAGCTCCATAGTTCTCAATGGGATGCATGGCCCATATAGTCTAGCTGGTCCTGTCTCTCATGAGTAGAAGCTCCTCTGGATATTCAGACAGAAGTTTTTTACATCACTAGTGAGCTAACTCTTTTCACTGGAGCTGCCAGGGACTGAACATGTGACCTTCAGCATGTGAAGCTTGTCCACAAGGACTGAGCTATAGCTCCTCACAGGACACATGCACACATCCTCTCCTGTGCAGTCTTCATGGGAAGATATTCATTCACTTGGCCAAAGCCCATAGCCCTGCTCAGGTATCATGAACATCTAGTCCTGAAGCAGGTAAGGTGGCAGGTGTGCCCTTTTCACTGCAACCTTCCCATATTGGTAAGGAAAGTCAGGAGCAAGACTGTAGCCACATTCAGCCGAATGTGGTATAGACCTCTGCTCGACAGGGAAATTTGTACAACCAAGGTCCCTGATCAAGGGGAACACAGGAACCATCTTCAACTAAAGGTAGCTAAAGCCATTTCTAATTCAAACTGGGACCTTTGTGGGTGGAGTGGCTGGAGCTGACTGGTCTGCCTGTCTCCTCAATAATTAGAATTCATAGTACCCAAATAAAGCATGATCCAGAATCACAGTACTAACTTCAATTCCAAAGTGAAGGATACACTTTTTGCTGCAACTTAAAAATGAAATGCAGTTGCAAGGAGATGGGTGGCGTGGAAATAGAAATACTATGAGCTTGGCAATGACACATTGCCAAGAGCTGGTTGAGCCCTCACTCACCTACCTCACTGTCTGCTGGGCAGAAAGAGCATATGTGGAGCGGCCTTGAGTAAAAGTGTTCCCCCTTAATCAACACGTATAATTCAGTGTATGACCTGAGCTTGTTGTGTCTTCAGCTTGGAGTGGTTCCTGCCAGAGTTCAGCTCACTTAAGACACTGAAATGTCACTGTGTAGGACAGAAGTCTATGCAACAGCCACTTCCTGCCCTAGAATTAACTTTCTGCTGAAACTACTAAAAACAGTCATAGGATCTGAGAAGTATCTGTGTAATACTGAAATACTGTGTAACATCGATTAATTGGATAATTCCCTTATGATGAAGTTTCAGAGGAGGTTTGTTTGTTTTTCGCTGCCATGGCTCCATGGCTCCACTGTCTCAGCTGCATTCACATGCACTCACATGCATGCTTTGCTGGAGAGGTTTTGTTCTCTAAAGGTAGGTTTATTTTCAAGGTTACAGATATAAAAACCTGTTCATGTATCCTGACAAACAGCCCAGCATAACTGCACATACGTCCATATACGGCAAAAAGAGAATGTGTCTGAAATATGGGTGTGAGTGGAAATGATGTGTATACATGAAAAAATCTTCTTGCAGTATTAAGCAAGAGCTGGTTTTGTTCTTCACTCAACTGCAGCAGAGTAGTGACAAGTGTTGGGATTGCAACACCTAAAGTGGCAGCCATTAATGTAAGCAAGCAGTCCAGATACAAGAATTTCTGAGCCAGTTTTGAATCTGCTGCACTTACCCCCTGTAGAGTTACACCATACAACAGAGCCATCCTGGTGTGCTTTAAAATCTGGTGCTGATTTTCCTCTTCATCTTTTCCTTACACCCATAAATCCCCCTGTATGCCAAAGCTATGCTAGGTAGGGAGATTTGAGCAGTCCTGAAGTAGCAGCATAGTGGATCTGCTGCAACAGCCATCCATAATTCAAGGATGGCCTTGGACAGGGCCAGCTTGCAGTGAGACAAGGACCTTGTGTAACAATCCATGCTGCGTGGTAGCACATTACCTCCCATTCACCTCCCAAGTCAGGATGGCACTTTCCAGTAGCTGCTTCCATGCTTCTAGACTACAAGATGCATTCAACTGGTACACACTCTTAAATGAAATGTGTGTGACAGCTGAAACAGTTTGTGGCTTATACTAAACACATATTCATATCTGATAATAAGAGTTTTTTCTTCAGAAGCCATTTATTGTGTGCTTGTGATTTCTTACGGTTGTTGAAGGACTCTATAGCCAACACTGTGATCCTCCAGTTTTTTTCTTGCTTTTTCGTAGGGACAAATGGAACATTACAGTAGAATGCAGAACAGGTGTTGTTTCTCCTTGTGCATCAGAGATATTTTGCTAAAGCACAGCCCTAGCTAGTGGTAAAGCAGCAGAAAAATAGGCAAGGAAGAGCTGGTTTTGCTACAAAACTGAAAGTAGATACAGCCAATTAACCATCTTGTATAGAAAAGCCCTAGAAGAATGGGGCAAACTGTGTATATATTATTCATTTATTGGAAACTTTTATATGCCGTCCCTTATGCATGGCATCTCAGGATGCCTCACAATAAGTAAAATACATTAAAAACAATCTAAACAATAAATAACATATAACCAATAAAACACGACAGTTGCATTACAATACTAAATTTTAAAATAATGGTTAAATAAAAAGGTTTTGACCTGGTACCAAAAAGAGTATAAACCCAGCACCAGGCAAACCTCTCTGGGGAGCGTATTCCATAGTTTAGGTCTCATTGACTAATAAAAGGGAGATGGAGGAAACTAATATTTACACAAGATAAGAGTCCGCAGGGGGAAAGGGCAAAATCCACTACCTCCTGTTTTCCTTCAAAGTTCCCTAATGCTTTAAGCATTTTTCCCTCGCTTGGCTCACTTCTGGCAGGGGAACTGGGCTGAGGAAGCAATGCTTTCAAAACAGCACGGCGCCAAGTGATGGAGCTGTGGGTTTTCTGCACATTGCCAAAGACGGACCCTCTGCTTGGTACGTGAATGAGGCAGGGCACACGTCTCATGCCCCACGCATCTCATTTCTCCACATCTGAACTTTTCTAAAATGTTTTGTGCTATTCATGTGACAGATGTTAAATTCTGTTAGAGCCAAAATGCATATCGTGCCGATCATAAGGTATGTAGCTCAGCACGGGTTTTTCATTTAGTGCAAATGCACAAGACCCCAATTTAGACCAGGGCCACCAAACCCTGGAAAAGAAGGAAAGGATTAACCTTTCTCTTGCCTACTATATTTTCCCCAAATCCCCCATGTTCAGTTAACAAAAGAAAATAGTCTTCGGTGACATGGACTCCTTTTTCAACTCTCCCTACAGGGGAAAAAAATGGGGGAAGGGGGTTTCTCGTCTCTTCCAGAACATGGTGTTTCCTATCCAAACCAGAGTGCATAGACCTAACACTACAATAAATACAAAGATCACCATGGATTGCTCACTACACAATGAGTGTATTGTATAATTTGGCTCTTCGCCACCAATATGAAACAAACTCAAATCAACAGGCCAATTCTATACATGTTTACTCCAGCCAATCCTCCCTGAGTTCAACTGTACTTACTCCCAGATGAGTGAATCTAGGTTTACAGCCCAAGCAGCACATCTGACAAATGCCAGGATGGCAGTTATACTTCCCTTGATGAAGTTGATCATTTGATACTCATTTGAGAAAATGGTTCATATAATGCAGAACCTGAGAGATTCTGCCTACAGCTTTCTCAACCTTCTGTTTTATATTTTTTTTCAGGTTTTTTTACCGGTGGCCTTTGGAATGGTGGCAATTTCATTGTTCTTAGTTTTAGCTCCAGTAGTCTGGTCTCCAAAGATGCAGTACATCTACACTTTGCTTTTCATGCTTGGGGGTCTTCTCTTATATCTGCCTTTTGTGCATTTTAAAGTGCATTTTGAGGTTTTTGACAAAATTACTTGCCAGCTGCAGCTGTTGCTGGAGGTGTCGCCGGCAGATGACAAATTGGAGTAAATCTGCAATAAGAACTGGTAATGAGCAACATGGTTTGGAAGCAACATTGCCTGTGTGGAATGTGCCACATGCAGGGGGTTTCCTTGTCCCCTCTGACCTCCTACAGTGGGTCCTCTCACCTTTGTGTGAGAGGATCCAAGCCAAATGAATCTTGACATTACTGGAGATGTCACCTGTTGAAAGTAAACTTGGTCAATTATTTCACTGCAGTTATTACATTTATTACATTTTTGTACTGCCCAGAAGCTCTCTTGGAAGTTTATAAAGATTAACCCTTAAAATACATAAACCATTTTAAAACCACATACACAAAACATATAAGTATGCATATAAAACAGAAAGATATAAAATCAATTAGAGTATAATTCAAGGAGGTTGCCTGTAAACCTCTAGACTCAGATGCTTAAGGACATCTTATGCAGGATGGGAGGAACACAGAGAAAAGGATTCATTTCCTCTTACTCTGCAAATCAGCTAGAAGGCCACTTTGGAGTGGGAGGGAAGAGGTCTGAGGATATTTCATATCTTGACTCTTCTCCTCACCCTCCTCACCCTCAGTTCACTCTTCTCCTCACCATCTGAACACTCTCTTCATTCCTTCCCTGAGACTGTGCATATGATACTGGAGAAATAGCTGGCATACCAGCTGTGTGGGGAAGGGCATCTGAGCAAGGATCGCCACCTCCAAGATCAGATCCACTTTCCAGCCTCAGAATGGGAATCCAAAGGATCCTGTGGGTCCCTAGAAACTGTCTATGGGACATAGGATCTTTGTGCATCCAGTAATCAATCCAATTTGCACAGGGTTTTGTATGACACATTAGCAATGGTCTTAAAGAAGAAGCAAAAACATAATTTTGTTTATAGACATGCACACATGTGTCACTGAGCAGCTGACCTGTGAGAAGAGTTATTCCTGCCTTTCTTTTACAGAAAAGAATGTCTCTTCTAAGCCACTTGCAATTTTGAAAAGTACTTGTATTAAAAATGTTTACACATTTAGAATTTCCTGCCTGGTTTTACTGGGGGCATAGTGACCCATCTTAGTCTATCAACATGTTATAAATTGAATGATTTATAGTACAATTCTATTCATGCATATTTGGATGTACATGTTCAAAGGGGCTTATCCTAAGATATGTACCTATTGTATGGATTGCAGCCATAACCAATTCATTGGGAAAGGCCACAATCCTATGCATGGTCAGGAAGACACATTCCTACAGCTCCCAGCGTCCCCCTGCAAGCCTGGCTGCCTGGGGCATGCTGGCAGTTTTCTGCCTAAACATGTATTGGATTGAATCCCAAACGTTGCAGTCGTAAGCTTGTTCATTCATCCAAAATGCATAGAATGGTAAGTTTTTCAAATGAGCACATAGTCTGAAATATTGTATAAATTCTGCAGTCATCATCTTTTTATGCAGCAAACATAAAGATTAAAGTTGATATAATTTGGTGAGGAGAAAAGATAGAAGACAAAATATATGGGGAGAAGAAGAAGCCTGAGGCAATGGCTGGAATTATTGGAGGATAATGCTCCACTCCCCCTTTCCACACCAAGGCGGCTTACATCTTTGAAGCTCAGCCATGCTGGCTACTAGGGTCATGGCCAGGAGAGCTCTCCAAGGCATTTCCGAGGTCAGAGATGGGATTCTAACCTTTCCTGTGCCCCTACAAACAATATCTGGGGGTCATGGGGTTCTGCTCTAAAAGTATTTCTAAATTTACATCTGTACATGAAAATTAGCCCATTTAAATGTTATGCTCTGCCCTTTTTTGGTGAGGTATATTTGACCACTCTAGTTTGGAGTCATACCCTTTGTTGATTTGACATGTCTGCTCTTTTTTATCTTTATGCCTGTAGTTTTCCAACATGGTTTAATTTGGATTGTAAGCTATTTGGGTTAGGGACTGCCTTTTGCTAAGCTACTCTGCAATCTGTCACTTCCGTATCAATGCAATTACATAAATAAATATATTTTAAAAAGAGCAATTCATTGTTTTTATTAAATGCTGTATCTGAATATCACATATACTTTGAATTATTCAACCACACCCCACTTCTTTCTTCACCACAAAAGGAAATCTTGAGGACTGTGATCTGGTTAGAAGGACTCAGCCAGTAACCCATGATGTTCTGTAAGCAGGTGCCAGGCATGTTTGGCTACTGTTCCCAGTATGCAACCTGCAGTTGGGGGGATGAGGGGTTGTGCCATGACATGCAAACCCAGCCATCGTGGGTTCTTTGAGGGTTATGCAACCCACACAGAACTAGTAGGAATACGTGAGAGTCTTTAAGCCTTAAATGACTCAAAATTACTGAATTCATATGACATGGTATGACACTCATTCAGGGCCTGTGTATTCAAAGTTGTAGGCACACAAACTCAGCAAGCACCATGGCTCCTGTATGGCTTTCTACCTGGCTTTTTTGGAAACATGGTGTGACTATCATTTAGAAATGCAGCCAGCACAATCCTATGCCTATTTACTGAGAAATAAGCCACACTATGTTCAGTGTGGCTTACCCCTAGCTATGTGTCATAAGACTGAAATCTGAATGACCCCAAAAAAGATATTACCAAACTTGAGGCATCCTATATGAACAGATTTGTTCAAACCTTTGTGCAGCTGTATTTGTAGTCCCTCACAAATACAATGTGTGAGGGACTACAAAATATGACCACTTCATGGAAAGCTAGTTTCCATCAATCATTTTCATAAATAAATAAAACCACAGTGGTCTATACACCTTCAACAGTGCTCTTATCTTGGAGATGGGACTCCAAAGGCCAAGCTGCGGCCCTGCTCCCTTGCAGCTGCCTCGCCTTGGATTCTCATCAGCATCTACATTTGGCAACTTATGGTCATCGGCTGCCAGGGCGAAAAGATCAAGCCCTTGACACTAATAAGGATCAAGCTGGACATAGTGTCTTAATGAACATGAAACAAAGACAACTAGGGAAACATTTTTCTTTGCTTGTCTGGTAGATCTGTATTATGCTTAATGTTAATGGATTGTATTAAGCATTAAAAGGATGATGCTGTATACTGAATGTTTTCTGATTCATTCTTCAAAAATACTTGCTATCTATCTCCTGTTTTGATTCTTCAGTCCTGTTTCTAGGTCAGAACATATCAAACTATGTTTTAACACACATTTTGATTATATATGAAAAAGAAGCCAACAACAGATTGATGTCTTGGGGATTCACATGGTCCAACTGCTGCCAGGGAAAGTTGTAGACCAGATTTGGATGTGTGTAGTCTTCTGTCTGGGGGGAAGCATTGTGAAGGTGCTGCTTCTGCACTTACAACTAAGGTACAAATAGCTACCCTGCATGATATCATAAGACAAGTGGGCTTCAGTCCTATACACACTTATTGGGCAGTACATCTCCTTGAATTCAGTGGGACTTAGTAGACATAGGATTGATCTGTTCAATGTTTTTGCATTTGAAGCAGAAAGCCACAGTTACCTTCTCCCTTTTCTAACCCCTGTTCTGCTCCAGATCTCATAATTCAGGGGCACACAGAGAAATTGATGTACATTGGAAGTCAGAAATTGTGCCCCTTATAGAATTTATTACCCAAAAGCAACTGCTTTTTATTACACTGTGGTAAGATTAGCTCTGCTCAAAGAATGAAATCACATTGGAATTGCAGAGAACTTACAACAGCATCACAAGCAAACAGAAAATACTGGACCGATATATGGGTTTTAGATGCCAGGTTTATTTGTAGTTTAGGAGTGTCTTGCAAAGATGTCCACCAGATGGCTCTGTGCAAGTAATATTTTTCCTGAAAAATTAGGGTGGATTATACAATCCATTTACAGCAGTGAATGGTTTTCTCAAGATAAAATTGTAGAGAAATCATTTTCTATATAAGAAATTTAAAAACCGTAATCTGGTTTTTGTGTTCTGGTGTTGAACTTCTAATATAATGGCTCAGAACCATTTAATTTTGATAGGACAGGATTGCCTCCAAGTAAGTAACCACTGAATAACAATTCAGATATAGGTGTTTACATGAGTGTATGAAAAGTGTGTGTGTGCAAAAAGAGAGAGAATGAGAGGTCAGTCCCCAAGGATCTGCAAAAAAGGATACAGTGGCTAGCGCTAGCTTAGCCAGATGGGGCTGTATATCTGGCTGTGGAGTGATAAGGGAAGCTAGTTTATTTGTGTAACTTCAGACCACAAAAAAGATCCTCCTGGAACAGCTGTGCAGTGTCGTGTGTGTGTGTGTGTGTGTGTGTGTGATAATCACAAAGCCCTGGAAGTCCTGACTGGGTCTGCTAGGTTGTAGGATTTGGGAAGGAGGCTGAAGGAGCCTGGCAGAACTCCAAGGTTGCTTGGGTCTTTCTGTGGCTGCATCCAAGGAGGCCAGAGTATGCATGAGCTCCTTTCTTCTGGCTCTTTGGTTGTAGCTGGTAAGTGCAGGAAACCACCCTGCACCTTTCCCCTTGGTCATGTATGCCTGCATGGGCCACAAAGGGCTGCAGGGAACATCCTATACTTGGGTCTCCTCTCCTCTGGGACAGCTGAGACTCAGGGCTGGCATGCAAGGGTAAAAGGGCTGAATCTTGCTCCCATGCTTTAGGGAATAGTTATGTAAAGATCTATGAACTGCAGCATATAGTGAGATTGTTGCTCCCTACAATAAAGAAGTAGAACTCAGCATGACAAGCAGGCCAGGCATACAGCATTTTGTAGGACAGTGAATGCTTTAAAGAAAGATCTCCTTTAAAAAGCAGGCTTGCGTTCATTTGCTAACATTTGTAGACATATAGACACCACAAAGATTCAGTCTTTAGAATGTATTCCTTTACAAAAATAAAAGAAGGAAATCACCACTTAAACCTTTAAAAGAATTAGAGGCCAAATACGTTGATCGGTTATGAAGTGCATTTTGTTGACTCTGCTCGGTTGCCATCTAGGAAACGCAAGCCTGGAGGCCAAATGATTTTTTAAAAAGCAGATTCAGCATTCATGGCTTAT